ATCGCTCTAAATCAGAATCCCAGTATTGAGCATCTCTAGATGAAGCGGGCGAGGAGATAATGTAATACTCGTAGCATGTTACAGGTGTCATTTCCTTGACCTGCAAAACACAGGTGATAGAATCTTGTCTAGCCAAGTAGGAAAATGTATATTTTGTAGAGTTATACTTGTGTCTTGCTAACTGATTTACTGATTCGTTCCCTTAGGGGTGTAAAAATTGTTGGTACAGCATCACATGTGCTAGATAACTAGATTTTGATAAAGGTGTAGTGCAGATTGCCTCCTTACTAAAAACGAGGAGTTCCCGGAAACAATGTGCATCACCCTAGTCCAGGTATGTCCAAAGTCTGTTTTGGGGGCCTAATCCGGCCCCTGTGGCAGTTTATGGTCAACAACTTTGGTTGGCCCCCACAGCCCTTCACTTCATCAAATCTGGCCCTCTTTGGAAAAAGTTTGGACACCACTTAGTCTCTCGCTCTAGACTTTTTTTATGGGCAGGTTCAAGGTGGGTGGTCCTTCCTCAGGCTGCCCAGAGCTGTGTCCCTTTCAGCTGCCCTCTCCACACCCAGTACAGCAGGTTTGCTGAGTTTTCCAGGGGTCTTTAGAGGAAGCCACAGAATAGCCCACCCCTAGAGTAGGCTGCTCGTTGTCTCTCAAGACAAATCTGTACTCCAGAAAAGTCCAGTGGCTCAGGCTAAAACATGGGGGCTGACTTATAAAAGAGCAGAGGGCTGTCTGTCCTGCCTATTGTAATTCAGAAACAGTGTGCCTCAGGGATCACATTAGTGCAGACAGCACCAAGACTCCATCCCATACTCACTGAGCTGAGCTGCCCAGCCTCCAGGGCTGGCTTGAAGTCTCCAGCCTTTCCTGACCCCCTCCAAGTAGCTGGAGGACAGCTTGAATCTCCAGGTGGGCAAAAGTGCATTTTTTAAAAATTAAGAAGGCTATGTGTTCAGCTTAGAAGCTTCAGACTGGAAGGATCCAACTGCAATTGCATAGACTCTTTTCCCTCAAGGGGGGATTCTATCTGTCCTCTGTTTCCGCCTCCCCTCTCCCAATTAACCTCCGTCTCCAGGGCTCAGTGGTGGGGAAAGCGCAGAGGAAGCATCTAGGTCTCAGGTTTGGGCTCTGAGATTTCGGTGTCTGGGATGCTCCTGAACTGGCAACCCTATCGATCATGCTTTCGACTTTCTTTGTGTGCTGGAGGGTGTAATCCTGCAGTCCCTTTAGGCTGCTGTTATCTCTCTCTGGTGCTTGGGTGGTGTATTTTTGGTCCCTTAAGAAGCGGCAGTCAGAGAACTGGGTTTGCTGTTGGCGTGTGTGAATGTATTCCTGCTACGAATTACATTGCCTTTTCCCACTTTAATTTTAACATGTCAAATGAAGCAAGAGGGTGGGCAGGTGTGGAGGGTGATGGCAACCAGACATCTTTACTTTAGGGGGAAATGGTGGCATTTCATGCATTTTATTTGGTGCCTGAAAAAAGCAACTGTGCAATTACAAAGACTTTTGCCTCTCCCACCCACCCGCTTTTAATATATATCCATATAAGTGACATGGAGCTTCTGCTATACTGATTTAGAGTTGCTGGGCCAGAGGGCACTGCTTTAACAGGAATTTTAATTTTAGATAAGTGTCTCTCTAATTTTAATGACTGCCTTTCCAAAGTGTTAAGTATGACAAGGAAGGGGGGGGGAGTGTGGGCAGGGGAGGAAACAATTGCATGTGACCCGCCTTCCCTATTTTTGCTGATGATCTTTTGACAACCTGGGAATTCAGAAAATAATAGTTATTATAGCATGTCATCGCTGTAAAGGGACCCTCAAGGTGAACTTTAGGGGGAAATGGTTTTATGAAGTGCATGATGACTAAGGCTGCATATATGCACATATAAGGGGCATACGTTTTAGTAAACATGATTGCACCCTAAATGGCACTATAATTGCACCGTCAAAAGCTATCAGCCATGATAGTTAAGAATGGAGCCTTCAGTCTTAGAAGCAGTCTACCTGTGATAGGGTTGCCATATTTTTAAGCACCCCAACAAAATTGTTAAGCTTCTTTTTTTGGGAAACCTAACCCATAAACAGCTTTTTGAGCTGTTTCCTCTGCTTTTTTCATTGCGTTGCCTTACATCCGGGTTTTTCCTGACATTTTGCTATTTTTACACCCAGAGAGTGACATGTCAGGAATTTTCCTGACATATGGCAAGCCTAACCTCTGAGTAACAGTCACTGGAGGCAGGCAAGAGAGGGCCACCTCTAGGCTGATTTGGAGCTGATTCGGACAACAGCAGCAGCTTATGGAGTCATAGAATTTTTTAGTTGGAAGGGGTCCTGAGGATCCCCAATGCAGGAATCTCAACTAAAGCATCCATGGCAAATGGCCACCCAGTCTCTGCTTAAAAACCTGTAAAGGAAGGAGAGACCTCCACTTTCTGACAGAGTCCCTTCCACTGTCAAACCACTCTTTCTGACAGCAAGAGTTCTTCCTGAAGTTTAATTAGAATCTCCTTTCTTGTAACTTGAAGCCATGGGTTCGAGTCCTACCCTCCAGAGCAGGAGAAAACAAGCTTGCTCCATCTTCCAGGTGACAGACCTTGAGATATTTGAAGATGGCTATCCTATCTCCTCTCAGTCTTCTCTTTTCCATGCTAAACATACCCAGCTCCCTCAACCGTTGCTCATAAGGCTTGGTTTCCAGACCCCTTACAAATCTTAGCTGCCGTCCTCTGTTCCAGCTTGTTATACAGGATAGAAATAAATGACATTGGCTGAAAGTCGCTCTAAAGTTGTATGCTGAATCTCCCTATGTTTAGCACGAATGAAGTAAATCATGCTGAATAAGCAAATGCTTGCATTATGCACCTTGGAGAATTTAATTTTCTTGCTTCAGAAATATTGCTCAGATCCCTAGCACAGAATCTATAGATTGCACTTGTAAACTGGCAATTAAGACCACCAGTTACCCTGAATTTGTCAATTTTGAGTTGTTAAGCTGTTCTGCCATCCATGTTCCACCACTTTCACTATCAACTCTTCAACTCTTTCAGCTGAAAGAGTTGGTGTTTTGGATAATCCACGAATGGCAGAATTCTTTTGAAAATAATAATTTAAAAAGTAAGTAGGAATGGGGGGGGGGTTGACTTAGTTTGCATTTAAAGCCAAATCTATCAGATTCACACTTTCTTGTGAAACTATACGAGAACTGAAGCACAGCCATTCTGGGAAAATGACACTTGTATGAAATTTGTGATACAGTCCTTTAACCAACCAGTGTTTACAAACGGCATATACCAGGGGAAAGTTGCACACAAATGCATATATTAGGGAAAACAACATACAAAAAATGCATTCTGTTAGGAGAAATTGCGCACAAATATGTGCTTATTAGGAGAAATTCACTCTAGAATGTGGATGAATTTTCATGAGAATTTAAACAGAAAAGAAAAAGGAACACAAATTTCTGCAGAAGTGTGAAGAACTGAATTTAAGAGGGAACTGACACTGACAGCTCCACCCATCCCTCTCAGCAGTTGTTCTGGGCTTTCAGGAAAGGGACAAGGCTGGCAGGGACTGTCATGATGCAGACGAGGAAGCGGGAGAGGCAGAGGTGGGTGGAGTAATTCTGGAGCCAGGAGGAGCAAGGTGCTATTATGAAGGGAAGCATGGTTTGAGGACCAATTGCTGTCAGGGTCGCTGTGCTTTAGAAAAGCAGTGATCACCTTTTTTGTGTGTGCAAAGGAATGCACATGAAAGAACAAATACGATTTTGCATTTTGAGGTTCACGCCCAGAGGCCCCTCTTTCCTTGTACGCCACTGAAAGAGACTTTATAGCTTGAAATGCCTGGTTGGCACAGTGCAGAAGACAGGGCCGGCTGCCCCATGAGACTCAGAGAGGCTGTTGCCTCAGGTGGCAACAGATCCAGACTCCAAGGAGCGCATCATTCACCTGTGTAGGCGGTCCTGACAGAATATAATTCATTTGTGCAATTATCTGCATTCCTTGTCCCTTATTGATATGAAGGCATGCATTGTTTGTGAACGTTAATGTTTACATTCATACATCATATAGGCCATAGGCTGTGTAAGATTGTTCTTCCAGTTATTTTTCAGCATTATGCATGTGGTGTAGAAATACATTGTGCAACTTGAGCAATCTGGCTTCGTTTTTTGAATTTCCCAAGTGGTCAGGGAATAGACTCCCTAGGTTTCTTTTGGGGACTTCCAGTTCCCCTCCGCCTCCGACAGCGTGGTCAGTGTTGTAACCCAGAAACGTCTGGAGAACACAGCCTCCTCATCTCAGGAAAGATCCACGCTGTGGTTTTCTCAGTTGACCCCATGGGACAGGAATGGCGGCCACAGACACCACCTGGGAACTTGTGGGTGAGCAGGGCCACAATCCATAGTGGGTGCAGCAACAAACATAAAGGTCACATTTGTACAGTAGACAAGTTTCTACACAGAGAAACTACCGTATTTTTCGCTCCATAAGACACACCAGGCCATAAGACGCACCTAGTTTTTGGAGGAGGGAAACAAGGGAAAAAATATTCTGAATCTCAAAAGCCAGAACAGCAAGAGGGATCGCTGTGCAGTGAAAGCAGCAATCCCTCTTGCTGTTCTGGCTTCTGGGATAGCTGCGCAGCCTGCATTCGCTCCATAAGACGCACACACATTTCCCCTTACTTTTTAGGAGGGAAAAAGTGAGTCTTATAGAGCAAAAAATACGGTATCCTCCAGGCAGTCAGGTATGAGTTCAAAGACACTTTCCAGCCAGGCAAAAACATGTTAGGGGTGTGACGAGGGTGCAGGGAGGTGTTGCCTGGGATTAGTCCAGATATTTGGCCCTTGGCCCTGAGGTTTTGCCACCCCTGCTGTGGGACCAAAACTTCCCCGTTTGCTCTTTGCAAAGACTGACCAGCAAATCCACCTGGTCATGTGGGAGGCAAGTCCTCTTCCGTCCTGCTAATGGTTTTGCTTCTGTTTTGACCCAGCACACGATGGATGTAGCCGCCCCACTGGGATGAAGCTGGCCAGCGCACCATGCCAACATGCATCTCCAGCAGGCCTGCCACCGCCGAAAGGCTCGTTTCCCACAATGAGCTTGGCAGGCAGCAGGAGGCTGCTGGCTTTCCGCATTGCTTGCAAGCCCTGAAGTCTACCCAGTTGGGCGAGATGGATTCCTTCGTGGTGGTGACGGAGTATGACCCTGCTTCCAGGCCTTCGCAGGGCGGGCAGGACGAGCAGGAGGATGAGGAGCCCATGGAGCCCTGCGAGGAGGAGCCGGTGGCGCAAGACCCCAGAGGGTTCGAAGAGGAGGCTTTTCCTGGGGGTGCTCTGGGGGGCCCTTTGCGAGAGACAAGGGAACCTCGAAACAAACTGAACCTTTCAAGTCGCAAACTCTCTCTCCAGGAAAGGTCGCAGTCTGTCCAGTCTCCTGGTAATGGCGAGGGCGTTAATGGACGCTACATTTATCCTTCTCTTCCTTATTCCCCCGTCACGTCTCCGCATTCCTCGCCTCGTCTACCCCGGAGGCCGACGATAGAATCCCACCGAGTTTCTATCACAGGATTGCAAGTAAGAGAAGTGATCTCTGACAGTTTCAGCACTGGGTGTGTGATTCTGTAAACGACACCAAAGTATTCCAGGGAATTCTGTGGTGGCTGCAGGGTGTGTGTGAGCAGACCCTCCAAGGGCCCCTATTTTGCAGGGACCGTCCCGGATTTACAGAAGCCATCCTGGTTTCTGATTTGATCCCTCAATGTCCCCCTTTACCTTAGGATGTTGCTGTTTTCATTGGAGAAATGTTGGAGGGTGTGGTGTTATGCAACCCCCAAGCTAAGGAGATAAGTAACTATATGAGCTTTAGAAAACCAAAGGTGGCCCTGTATAGGGAAGTTTTTTTTAATGTTTAATGTTTTATTATGTTGGAAGCTGCCCAGAGTGGCTGGGGCAACCCTGTCAGATGGGCGTGGTACAAAATAAATAAAATTATTATTATTATTATTATTATTATTATTATTATTATTATCATTATTATTATTATTATTATTATTATGGAATAGGACATGCCTATTTTCATCAGAAAAATGTTGGAGGGTATGTGTGAGGTGTTATTGGGAATGGCTACAAAGCTTCAGTGCTTGTTTCGTGGTATGATTTCGGAAATGTAGAATATGTGATTTCAAGACTTAACCAAGACTTCCTTTGCATTCTTACGTTACTGCAGCTTGCAGAGTTCTCACAGACTTGCAGCACAAAACAGATCAATATAAGTCCATCATAAACAAATGGGAAAAGGGAGAAACATATTTCTTCTTATGCTTTCAGTCTGTACCAAGATAGCCCCTCCACACCGACCTAGGTGTGTCGGAGGGCGACACTTCCTCCCTTGTTTAATTAAGTCTGAACTGATACCGCACCCAATAAGAGTGTTCTTTTTCAGCAGCAAAGCCCCTCAAAGCACTCTGTGATGATGGGCAGGGTGCTGTGAGGGTCCTTTGAAGCCAAACTGCTCATGAAGGGGGAGTGGAAGATCTCCAGTGCCTCACCACTGTCAGTCCGGATACCGTAAAGAGCAAATGTATTAGGATGCTTTTCTTTAGTGACTCTTATGAGAGTTGAATGGATGGGGTGGGTTCAGGGGCGTAGCAAGGGGGGGTGCGGTAGGTGTGGCCTGCCCCGGGTGCCCCCACCGAGGGGAGTGACAAAATGGCGGGTGGCACTCACCGCTGGACCTGCAGCGCGCCCGAACCATGTGTCTCGGGCGCCCGCAGGTTCCACTCTGTCCGCCCGCTGCCTCCACGCCGTCCCGTCCTTAAGGGCATGCCCTGTCCCTATGGGTGCTGCGCCCCCTGCCCCTAGGGGTGGTTTGCCCAGCCCCTGGGCGCGCTGCCCCAGGTGATGGAGAGGCTTCCACCACAGCTGGGTGGGATCATATTAGCACAACCTTTGCCAAACTGGTGCTATCCCAGATGTTTAGGACTACAACTCCCATTATCCCCAGCCAGCCAGCATAGCCAGTGATCCAGGGATTATGGGAGTTGTGGTCTAATAAAACTGGTCTGAAGTGAAAGGGAGGACAAAACCTTTATGTGTTGCTGTAGATTAGTTGAAGGTTTTTTCCAGCTTCTGAGGACTTTTCAGTGGGGTGCCTTGATGGACCTGAGGCCCCAAATTCTGCCCTTTCTTGCTGTGATCCAGAGAACCGGCCCCACCTTCCTGAACCACCGTGCAAATGAATTATCCCTGGGTTTTGTGTTCTCTGCTGTTATTGTTGCAGAAGGGATGTGTGAGGCTGGCGATGGCTGTGGGTGGGGAGAAGATAAACGAGGAAGAAAATCAGATGCTCTTTGCAAAGCTATATATGGCGAGAACAGCGGCTGATTAAAAGCAGAGGTGGGTGGCAGCACCGATGCCTCCAGCCCAGTCTTTCTCAGTTATGCATTAGAGAAAGAAGATGCACTTATGCTAATACAGCTCAGCTCCCAGCGTGGAATCTCTGCATGTTTTATGCAGCGCATGGAAAGTTTAGTTGAGCAGGCAAGGGAGAAAGGAGGAGGAGGGGACATCAGCCTTTCCCAAACTGTTGCCCTCCAGGTGTTTTGCACCACAACTTCCATCAGCTAGCTGGGGCTGATGGGAATTATAGTCCAAAACATCTGGAGCGGGGCCATTTGGGAGAGCCTGACCCAAGTCTTTCATCTTGGTTCAAAGAAAAAATAATAAGTAAAAGAAGAATTCCTGGATGCCAAGATCCTTGTTTGGGGTAAGCACTCTTTGGTGTGAGAACCTCAGCAGAGATTAAAAATTGCAAAATATGCAACAAAGTAAAGGATGGAAATAAAGGCTGTTTGACCTTTAAAATATGCCCTTGTGAATTCCAAAACTTCCCTCTTCCCTTATCATGGAAAAATACCAGGTTTGCTAAGTTAAAGATGGTTTACTTACAAACTCTCCTGAAGTCATATTGATGTGCTTTTCCATACAGAGTTCAGAAAAAGTAGCACAGGCAAAAAAAAAATTCACTTAGTTACAGAGTGGTGAAAGTTCTTCAATTATTGGTATAGTGGCTTGTGAGAGCCATGTGGCTAAGCTGGAGCAAGCAGCTTGCTCCAGCTTAGCCTCTTCACACACAGAGCGCAGGGAGACAATAAGCTTGATTACCTAGCCCCTCCTAAGCTGAGCTAAGCCTGGCAGGACAGTTTACACACTGGTCTTAACTCCTTCATGCATTAATTAGACTTAAGCATGGTGGTTCTATGAGGCTGGTTATCCCACATCATCTTTGTTTATTCCACATTTTGAACAGAGGTGAATTGTGTCCATGAAAAACAGAGGGATGGCTGGTGGTGATGAAGTCCTTGTATGCATACATCCTCTTTGCCGGGTGCCCAAGATCTGCCGTGAGTGAATGGCAGGCCATAAACTTAAAACATAATAAAAGCTGGTGGCTTTTCGTTTCGAGGGTCGGTGCTTATAACGCTGGCAGAGAAGACTTTTTACAACTTGTTTAATTCCGACTGCTGCCTCAGTGTTCCTCCTCCGCTATTGTGTGGCTCAGTTTCCTCATTATCTGTCTTTTGTCAGCCTTGGGACTTCCTTTGCGGCCAGAGAGATTGCCACCTCTTCACCCCCTCTCTGGTAATAAAACTCAAATATTATTGCTAGGAACTGAAGGAGATTTTCAAGTGGCAATAAACTACAGTAATGGCAAATGGTGTTTTATTACCCAAATAGTACAGCTTAAGCCACTGAGTGTATTTTTACCTCTTCTCTGCTTCTGTGGATTTAATGCAATAACATTTTGTGGGATTTGCCACAGAGAGATCTGGGAATTGGCCATGCAGGCTGATGCTGATGGGAGCTGGAGTCCTGAACCCCTGGGGGGGCAGCATGTTGGGCTACCCCACCTTACACCAAGCCTTGGCAAGGCTCTCCACCAGCTTTCTGCTGCGGAGCCAAAGGCTGGGGAGGTCAGCTGACAAGGGACTGGCTGGTCCGGGTAGCATCCAGGAGGATGCTGAGAGGCGCTGCCTTTTCGTGAGATGGCTAGATGAGGACACAGGCATGTGTTTATGCAGAATGAGAAGAGGTTGCTTGAGGGAGGTAATCGAAGCAGATTAATAAGCAATCAGCTGTACTAGAGGCTTAGCAAATATTTTCATCCTCTGCAGCAATTTCCTACTGAATCCTGGGGTCCTAAAACATGCCAAAGCCATTCACATCATAAAAACGCAACAGTACTCAATTTAAAAAAAGTAAGTAGCAGCAAAAACTTCCCATGTGTTTAAAGCACATGTAACACTCATTTAAAGTAGGTGGATTTCTCTAAAGTCCTGGGAACTATAATTTGTTTAGGGTTCTGGTAAATGTAGCTCTGGTAAGGTAGGGAAACTACAATTCCTAGGATTTGGGTGGGGGGTTATTATATATATATAATATACAGTGGAACCTCATCGTCAAACACTTCGGCAGTTGAACATTTCGGCTTTTGAACAGCGACAACCCAGAAGTGTTTTTGAATGTGTCTCAGAAGTCGAACGGCTTCCGAGGTGCATTTCTCCATTTTTTCAATGGATTTTGCTGACCGGCAATTGCGCCTCGGTCGTCGAACGTTTCAGAAGTCTAACGGTCTTCAGAACGAATTACGTTTGACAACCGAGGTTCTGTTCTGTTCTATTCTATTCTATTCTATTCTATTGGTAGCTTCCAACATATATAAAAACATAATAGAACATTAAACATTTTAAAACTTTCCTATACAGGGCTACCTTCAGTTGTCTTCTAAAGGCTGTATAGTTACTTATCTCCTTGACATCTGATGAGAGGGTGTTCCACCAGGCGTCTGCCCAGAGGGCCCTCTGCCTGGTCCCTGTAACTTCACTTCTCGCAGTGAGGGAACTGCCAGAAGGCCCTCGGAGCAGGACCTCAGTGTTTGGGATGAACAACGGGGGTGGAGACGGTCCTTCAGGTATACCCTAAGAGTGAGAACAGTTAAGGAATGGTTGGGTGCACAGTTCCGTCTTCAATAGATGATGGATGCCCCCATACCTGGTGCCTGCCTGATTTCAACAGCAAGAAATTTCCACATGGTAGGCACCACAACAGAGAAGGCCTTCCCTCGGCCAGAGCCCTGCCAGGTGAGCCTCTGTCGGTTGTGGCACAGTCAGAAGGACCCATTTTGTAGATTGTGGTGATATCGACTGTGGTCCCTCAACATATACCGGTCCCGAACTGTTTATTGCTTGGTAGACACTTTAAAATTGACTCAGGAGTTTGGCTCAGGATGCCAACTGACTGTTCTTAGCACAGAATGGAAAAGAGAGCAGTGGGAATAGAGTGAGGGAATCCTGAACAGCTTTACTTCACACTGTAACATTTTGTTGCAGGTCCCGTTTCTAATAACCGTCGGCTTCTACCATTCTCAAGAGAGAAATGGATCAAAAGTAAATGCCATCCTTTTGTATTTTCAGCATGTGCTTGTCTCATTCTGTTTCCGACTTCCTCTTTTCTTTTAGGACTGTGTGCAGCTAAATCAATATACGTTGAAAGATGAAATTGGAAAGGTGATTATGTTGTTTCTATCTCCGCAGATTTGTTGTGTGAGTATTTGGGCTGAACCTGGAATTTGTACCAGCCCAACACATTTGTGTCAGAATGAAGGTTATGAAAGGGAAGCTAACATCCAGATTCGGCCCTCTAGTTCAGAGGCCACCAACCTTCTGGGACCAGGGAGCACATTTCAGATTGTGAGAGGGTGCTGTGGGTGACAGTCACAAAATCACTCCTGGGAAGTGGGTGGCATGACATAATGCAAAATACCCTTGGTCTAATAGCTTTGGTCCTTGTGTTTTGCTTGGTGTGATTGCCTTGCCTGCAGAATCATAGAACTGTAGAGGTGGGAGGGGTCCAAGGGTCATCTAGCCCAACCCCCTGCAATGCAGGAAGGCAATTTGTGTGTGTGTTGATTCGGTTGTTTTGCATTTCCTTAGGGCTCCTATGGGGTTGTGAAGCTGGCATACAATGAAAATGACAACACCTACTATGTGAGTAACAGTCTCTGAGCTGGGGGGGTGGCAGTTGACGGCAGTGAAAGTGGGGAGTCCTTAAGGAACACTCATCACCTGTTGCTCTCTTGTTACTTGTTACTGCTCTTCAAAGCTCAAAGTTTTCAATCCAGCTGGATTAAAATGCAGCTTTAAGAGGGTAGAATAGAATAAAGAGGTTTGCTAAATGTTTTAAAAGCATTGTATGTGAATATTTCATAAACATAAATGTCTCTAAGAAATATTAGTCTATTAAGTTGCCAGATACAGTAGACAAGTTGGCCCTAGCTCTTCTGCTTATTCAGGTTGCCAACTTACTAAAACCATGCTTAAAAATACAAAATGCTTTTTAACGGTGACACGCTGACCCTTTCCTGTGTCATCTTATTGTGTGTGTGCCTGTGTTGATTTCTCTTGCAGGCAATGAAAGTGCTTTCCAAGAAGAAGCTGATGAGGCAAGCGGGATTTCCACGTAAGTGAGGACTAAAAGAAAGTGCTGTCCGAATGCTTGCGTTGGCCTTTCCTAAGGCTTTGGCATAGGGGAGAGCAGCACAGGGAATGAATGAAGTGGGGAGAGAGAAGGGTGGACCTGTCTCCCAAATATTTATGCTAGAAGCACAGCGGTAGATCACCCCCTTTCCATGCAGATCATCCCAGGTTCCATCTCCCGGCAGGGCTGAGACAGTTGAAAACCTGGAGAGCTGCTGTCAGTCAGTGCAGACAGTTCGAAGCTAGATGGGCCAATGTATACAGCAGCTCCCCATAACCTCCCTTTTGTTGGCGTCTGTCTTGAGAGACAGTGGAGTGCACCTTTGGGGGTGAAGTCAAAGCACTGAGTTAGCAGCACTGAAGTGACCTCCCTGGGGTGTCAGCCTGGGCGGTGTGCATGGAGGTGTGGTCCAAAGGAAAGCAGAGCAATATATTTGGCACCAGCTTGGCTGCAGGAGTTGCCAGAAGGAGACAGACAAGGCACCATCCAACCGCTTTAGACACCCACACTCTGGATTTGTGGAGAGTTTACTCCTGAGCCTTTTCTTCTCCCAAAGATATCCTGCAAGGCAGCGGAAGTTTAGGATCAGAGTATTCCTTTTCCTAGATGGGCTACCTTCCCAGCTTGATGAGCCTCATCTGCCCTGATAATCTCTGAATGAGATGATTATAGTCAGTGTTTTGTTTTTTTAAGATGCTGATACTCTCTAGGGCTGGGTGATATATCGATATATTGTCGAAAACCAGTTTGAAGTGCATATCACGATATTGGTTTCATAGTTTTGCACCTGACAATATATAGCTCAAAACTGGTTTCAAGTCCATATTGTGATATTCGTTTCATAATTTTTGACCTGGCAATATATTGTGAATCATGATGTGTGTTGTGCAAAAATCACAGTATGGGAAAAAGCGTGAAGGCAGCCAGTGCTTCTACACAGCCCCTGATTTCAGATGTTGTGATATATATGTATATCACAATGTTTAGCCAATGATATATCACAATGTTGAAAACCAGATATTGCCCAGCCCTAGTCCTCACCACGAAGTTGTTACATAAGTGCCACACTTTTAACATTTGTGGGGAGGGGAAGGTGCCTGTACTGAGTACCCCTGAGTACCCCCCAAAAACCCAACAACACTGATTATAATGTGCTGTACATGGTGCTGCCCTTGAAGACAGTCCAGAAGCTGCAATAGTGCAGGATGGGGCCACCAGAAGCATGATTCGGGAGGATCTGCGATGGTTCTCTACTGTGCTTCTGGGCCCCATTTTGCTCCTGGTGACTTAAAAATCCCTAAACCAAGCATGGCTAATCCTTTGGCCCTCCAGATGTTGCTGGACTGAAACCCCCATCAGCCCCAGCAAACATGGCTAGGGATGGTGGGAGTTGCTGTTCAGCGACATCTGGAGGGGCAAAAGGTTCCCTGTGCCTGCCCTGAATGACTTGGGACTGAAATATTTGAAAGAGTGCCTGCCCGCGTCTTAATATCTCCTCAGGGAGGCTCTTCTCAGCATTTCAGAAATGGGAGGGACACATTATGTTGTGACATGGGAGAGGGGCCTTTGCTATGGTGGTGCCATTCTTCTGCAATGCCCTCTTTGGCACCGATTTTCTTCGCCTTTTGGAGCCAACTGAAACCACAGCTATTTCATTATGTTTTTTGTTGGATGTTGATAGAATTAGCATACTTGCAGAAGGATGAAGTAACTGGGTTATAAAGATAGATCTAGAGATTGTGCTGACTGTTGTTCTATTTTGACTTCCTTAACTGCTCTTCTGGCTTACACAGATTTGTTGGTCCTGTTTTGTGCCCTGGGTTTTTATCTTTTGTAACCCTCCCTGGGAATCAGTGGGCTAGAAATAAACTATATAAAAACATCCAGCCCCCAGCCTTTTAACAGCACCCCACATGTGCCAGCCCTCCTCACCCTCCAACCCTCCATGCCTTTCCTTATGGTCTTCCACAGGCCGTCCCCCTCCTCGCGGTGCCAAGCCCCCTCTGGAAGGCTTCTGCCAACCCAAGGGACCCATTGAGCAGGTCTACCAAGAAATCGCCATCTTGAAAAAACTCGACCACCCAAACGTAGTGAAGTTAGTGGAGGTGAGAATGGTATTGCATCAGAAATGTCAGTGCGGTTCCTGGGCGTAAGGCAGGAGGCAGAGTTAGACATCAGCAGAAGGGGCCAGCCATTTTGATTAATCAGACTGAAGCAGGAATTCAGGGCAAGAATACCTCCCCCCCTTATGCAGAACTGGCCAAATTGACATACAAATTACGTGGGAAGGGCAATCGTGACTTCAAAGAAGATTGGGAACTTTTTACAAATAATTTTTTTTTAAAAAATGACTTGGACTCCTTGGCAGGTTTTGAATAAACATACACAAATTTATTAATAGAATATATGACAGATAAGGTATTAATATGTACAATTTTTAACATGCAGAGAATAACAGGTGCAAACAAATCAGAGAAGGGAGCTGAGGGAAGCCTTGGGAAGGAGGGAGGGGGAGGGGTGATAAAAAGGGGGGAAATAATGTAAGTGACCATTTGGATTGGTAACTTGGATTGTTTCATAAAAATATATTTTTTTAAAAAAGAATTATGGGGCATCAATAACCTTAATCTATCAGGGTATACTGCATTGCTGTTTTTAAAATAAGTTAGTTACGGGAATCTAGATGCATGCCCTACACCTGATTCATTCTCTCTCTCTCTCCCTCCCTCTCTGACAGGTGCTAGATGACCCCAGTGAAGACCACCTGTACATGGGTAACCAACTCCTCTTCCCACCCGTTTTGCTATGCACCTCCGAAAGAGGCTCCTTCACTTCCAGTCTGTGCAGGACAGTGCAGAGGCAAGCAGCCTCAATGGCACAAAAGCACTAAAAACATACCTGAGATAGCTGGTGAAGTCTAGAACAGCCTTGTATTGAGCCACTCACCTGGTTGCCATTGGCGACCAGGAATCCCAATGAGAGAGCTGGCAGAGGAAGCAGGATGGAGCTCCCCATTTCCACTTTGTTTCTGTGCTAGATGGAGAGGAAGGAAAGCCCCTTTCTCCATGCCCAGGATCAAAATTAAAGCTGTATCTGACATTGTCTCCAGATTTCTCATCCCAGATGAGACACATCTGCTGTATTTTCTTTCCCCTTCGTGCAGAAAGGCAGGTGTTTTCTAAGGGTCTAATAACCTTCATACTTTTATGGCCGCTCAGATGAAAATGGCTCAGGGAACGCCAGGCAGGTGTTACAATCCAGGGTTGGATAAACAGAATACGGCGTATAGCCCAGTCCAATAAAATAACCAGCACTGCAGGCCAAGTTGAGGAAAGATAAGCCATGGCTGCTTTATCTCAAATCGATCGCCTTCCGTCTTCAGGATGTTTGGAATGATTGAAGATTGACCGAGGTGTCATTTGGCCAGAAGTTGTGATATGTGATTCTTGCGGTGTGCATTTTAGGTGTTCACAACAGTATCCCATGTGGTGGACAATGCTAGCTTTATAACTTTTCCCGCAGTTGATTGGACAAATACAGTAAATGTCATATCTTAAAAAAACAAAAAGAGAGAGAGATAGCAGAGGAGGGGTCGATCGCTCCGTTCCTCTTGGTAGAAGACAAATAAAATAAAAGCCTGCTGAGAACCACAATCCTATGCTTTAATGCAAGACACAGAAACCAGTGGCCAACCTCACAGGAGGATAGTAAATTGTTTTGCACACTAATAATGCATTGCAGGGGGTTGAGCTCTTTGGGTTCCTTCCAACTTGACAATTCTATTATTCCAGTTTTTGCCAGCTCCATTTTCAAAACTGAACTAAAGATTCTCTAATGGACTAACAACAGACAACAGCCCTATACATGTGTCTGTGTATGTGCACCTATGCTGTAAACATGTACAGTCTTGGGGGGAGGGTGGGGTGGGGAGTAAAATACACACTTGTTTGCTTTAACCTCCATTTTTCTGCCCGCTCCTCTTTGTCTAAGCACTGAGTGGGACTTGATGTTAAGAATTGCCCATCTGTGCCTGTAGTACTCAAAGATGTTCGGTGCGCTGCCTACACAAGTGGCCACTTCCAGATGGAAGAGAGTCTAAAATAGATCTTGGACAGCAGTTCAGTATTTTCTCCCTCTGTGCTCCATCTGGTGTTTGTTTCAAGTTAGTTTTTTAAAAAACCAAAGGCTTTATAAAAATTAATTTTTAAAAAGCATAACTGATTGTTTGGACCATCCTTCCAGGGCAGTCTTCGCCAACTTGATGCCCTCCAGATATTTTTGACTACAATTGTTCGACTAGGTCACCAATTTAAGTGAATTCCTCATCTTTATAATTTTCAACTTGTACAGAAACAAAAAATGTGTATATTACTTACATCCAGTTATTCCTTCAAGAAACTCGGGGCAGCCTAAGATTGATTAATATAAAGGATGGGGACTCTGTGTCCCTCTAAATGATGCTGGACTACAACTCCCATCAGCCTCTGCTGTGTGGGCAATGGTTAGGGTTGGTGGGAGTTGCACTCCAGCATCATCTGGAGCGCCACATTTTCCCTACCCATGGTTTATATATAATGCCACATCCTAACCCTTGTATATACACTGCTTCATTAGTTGCTGTCTGGTTTACGGTAAACCATAGTTTTATCATTGCATCTGAACTGGCAAACCATTGTTTGCACTTGCTCTGCAGAACAGAATCAAACTCTGTTTTGCAAGCAGGGTTTGCAGGACAATTGCAAACTACAGTTTAACAGGCCTGTGGTCCTGGTTTGCAATGTAATGGTAAACTTTGGCTTTGCTACCTGCCAGGAGGTATTGCGTTAAGTGAGTTTGTGAGAGGAGAGGAGGATGCATGCAAAGGGCCACTGCTGATTGCACCAAACCCTGATTTGGTACTAGGTGTGACCTGAGCCTTATTTAGGCTCCTCTTCAGACACTGATCAGCCATGATCTCATAAGCTCTCAGAATGTAAGTCTTTCTTTTTGATGCTGTATTTAAAATTTGAGATTTTGCTGCCTGGAGAGTTAATGATTTAAAAGGCAGGATTGTTCTCTCCTGGTAGTATTCTCTCCTCATAACTAATAACTGGTCTCTTTTGTGTTTCAGTGTTTGAACTTGTGAAGAAAGGGTAAGATTATGATTGTTTATTAATTTATGCAGTTCATTGAGATACAGGATGTATTGCAGAGCAAGCAAGAAGTGCTGCGGGGGGGGGGGCAGTTTGTTGCTCCAAGGACTTTGCAGTCTTGCAGTCTATCCTCTGGCTTTAGGACAACTCACAGAACACCCCCCCCCCACCTTATCATCTCCTTTTCAACTTTCCTTGCCTCCTATCTGCAAGAGCTTCTCCCCCCTCCTCCCTTATTCCCTTCTCCTTCCCCAAATCACTCTGCCTCTAAAGCCTTTCTCGCATCCTAGAACTCTGTAGCTGGGGTGCACTCTGCAGAATTAAGATGGATTTAAATTATGTATTTAAGGCATGTATATACAGTATACCGCTTTTCAGGCACACCTCAAAGCGGTTTTCATATGATTGTTACAACAGTAATCATCATAGCTGTCAACTTTTCCCTTTTCTTGCGAGGAATCCTATTCAGAATAAGGGAATTTCCCTTAAGAAAAGGGAAATGTTGACAGCTATGGTAATCATGGATAAAAAAAGTAATTGTATTAAATTATGCGCCAAAGTAACCAGAATCCTGTGTTGAGAAAACAAAGTCCTGGCCTGCAGCTCCCATCATCTCTGACCATGGGAGGTAGAGTTCCACAACATCTGGAGGCACAACATTGGTTATGTACAGTGCTTTTTTCTATTTTAAAAAAATGTTTAGGGGTACTCTCATTTTGACTTAAGAAAACCAGCATTTTATAGTTCAAATCAGGAAAAACAAATACAGTACAGGTAAATGGACAAAAGTTCAAAGATCCACAAAATATTTAGGGGTATGTGTACCCCTGCGTGCCCCCAGAAAAAAACAACACTGGTTATGTAAATTGGTTGGGTTCATACATGTAAATTTGTCTGTTCCTCCAAAACAGGCATAGGCAAACTCGGCCCTCCAGATGTTTTGGGACTACAACTCCCATGATCCCTAGCTAACAGGACCAGTGGTCAGGGATGATGGGAATTGTAGTCCCAAAACATCTGGAGGGCCGAGTTTGCCTATGCCTGCTCCAAAAGTTATGCTCGGAAGCCCCACCCCCAGCTCCGGAGGCTCTGCAGATTTAAGAGCTCTGGGTCCCTCAGGCACTGGGAAGGGATCCTGAACTCGGGACTCACCAGCGTAGTATCTTGCCAGAGGGGGAGATTGCCATCTCTGGTCAGAGGCCGGTATTGCAGCTGCCAAGTCTGCAGAAGCCTAGTGACCCAGTGGATTAATAAGGCAGAGACTTTGAGGGGTTCCTATGCAGCGCTTCCAGGGGACCCCACCTGCTGCCCGAAGGCCCTTGCCCTGTGGAGGGTCTGGCTCATCCTCCACAGACTCGCTATCTGGTTGCAGGTCGGGGCCTCCAGACCTGCCCAAAGTCTTGCGTTTTAGGCCAAGTTGTGTTTCACCTTCGCAGGCCTGTGATGGAAGTCCCAAACCTGAAACCTCTGACTGAAGACCAGGCACGCTTCTATTTCCAAGACCTGATCAAAGGCATTGAATATTGTGAGTTCCCTTGGCGACGTTTTAGCAAAACGGCACAGAAGGGAAGGGCACAGAACATTTAATAAATAATAATACTGGGGACAAGGTTGTTATGGTTATGGTCTTTGTTTATTATTATGGTATGTCTTTTGTGTTTTTATATTGTAAACTGCCCTGTGATCTTCAGGTGAAGGCTGGTGTAGAAATTTAATAAATAATAAATAATGATACTATTAATTTGTGGCTGTAATCAATAGAGCTAATGCCCAGATAATTTATGTTCAGCTTGAGGGGTTGTGCCCTGTGACTGGAGGAACAATGAAATGACAGTGTGCTTCTGACCATGTGCAGAGTTGCACCCTTTCAGTGCTGCATAACTATCTCAGACTTAGTCACTGTGCTACAGTAGCTCTTTTTCCCCAGGCTAAGGATATAGTCATTTAAGCCCCCAAATCTCCCTCAATGTTCTATTTATTTTAATTATTTAGAGCATGACAATAAAGATATTATTATTATTATTATTATTATTATTATTATTATTATTATTATTATTTTTACCTCACTCTTCAGCCAAATAGGCTCCCAATTTAAATGATACAGATCCTGCCTGAAAGCTTACAATCTAAAATACACGACACAAAAGGAAAGAGGGATGAGGAGGAAAGAGGGATGGAGCAAATTAACCCCTGAAAACTGAAGAAAGGGAGCAGGTTCTTTGCGTCCCTTGAGCTTCATGCTCTGCCAAATTCATGTCTCATCTGGTCTTTCTCAACAGTGCACTACCAAAAGATAATCCACCGGGATATTAAGCCTTCCAATCTTTTAGTTGGGGAAGATGGTCACATCAAAATAGCCGATTTTGGCGTGAGCAACGAATTCAAAGGGGCAGACGCCCTGTTAACCAACACCGTGGGGACCCCAGCGTTCATGGCACCCGAGACCCTCTCAGAGACCAGAAAAATATTTTCTGGAAAGGTACGTTGAAAGAAGAGTGTGTATTTGTATGCTCATTTAGACAACCATGTTCTGTACTCTCTGGAAGGAACCAACCAAAAATTAGGTTGCCTGAAATGACTCAAAGTCCAATACACTTTATAGGCATCACAGCAAAGATGGCCTAGTGGTTAGAGCAAGGGTGTGGAAGCCATGACCTTCCAGATGATGTTGGATTTCAACTCCCATCAGCCCCATCTCAGCAACCTCTGGAAGGCAACAGGTTCCCAACTCCTGGGTTAGAGTGTCACACTAGGACGGCGGGAATCCACGTTTAAACCTCCATCCAGTCATGATCTTGTCCATTCATCTCCCTTGCAAGATTGCTGTATGAATAAAATTGGAGGGGGGGTGAGTGGAGAAAGCAAGTGCCGTACTCCTGAAGGAATCATAGATTCAGCATCGGTATTGAGGTCCTCTAACAAATAGATTAAAATACCCACCCCACTGTGGATATTCTGGTTCCAACACTACTAATCTGGAGAGTCTGGAGGGTCAGATAGCGATGCCCAGAGAATCACATTTCTGCTGCCCCCCTGCCAGGCCTGAGGTTCCCTGTCACTGCGGCAGTTCATCTTAAAAGCTTACCATGTTATTTTAAAATAGAAAAGCAATACAAATGTAGAGTTTTTGGAGGGCTCATGTGTTTAATCTCTGCATTTCTCTCTCTCTCTGTCCCTTCTTCCTAAGGCTTTAGATGTTTGGGCTATGGGGATCACTCTCTACTGCTTCGTCTTTGGGCAGGTAAATGAGCTGCTTCTTTACCTACATTTTGGATTTTAAACATTTTGTTGTTGTGGTTGCTTGTTTGAAACGGGGCCAGAAGTAGTGTTTGGTTGCAGGATGCATGCCCTGCCCCACTTTCCGGGGGTCATAAAGCTGAGTAAGATCTGGATGTTATCAGGGCAGCATAATTAAGAAGCCCACACATGTTACTAGTCTGCAGAAAGTTTGACCAACCTGCTGAGAAGCTACTGGCCTGCATACGCAAGGTGACCGCAGTGGAGGGAAGGCTTCACTTCTGCAGCAAGCAGGGAGACGCAGAATACTGACTTCTTAGCGGAATAACTTTAAAAGGGGGGTGTGTGTTTTGTAGCAGGTGGGTTGGAGGAGGAGAGTCAAAGCTGAGGGATAGGTTTTCTGTTCTCCATAGCCAGCAGAAAAAGCAAGCAGATTTGTGGAAGAGAAATGGAGCAATCGGTCCTTCTCCACCAGCCCCCTTACTCGCCTCCATGGAATTCCCAGTCGCCTATGGCTACCAGACAAGTTGTTAAATACACAACTGTATTAGGGACCAAACCTAGATGCAAATCTGTGATCTCCCGTGTGTTTTGTTACCTGCATGATTCTCTCTGCAAGACAAAAGGGCGGGGTTTGAAGGGTTTTTTTGTGGGGTGTTAATTTGGGGAAATGGTATAGGAGAACAGCTGCACGCATGTGCATAGACGCGCATACACACACTCTGCCACTTGCCTGATCAAATCCTCCGTCAGGTACATGAGAGTGAAGGAAAGTTGGGGGAAAGTGGTATAATAGCATTATAATGCAGATGGGACCTTAACCTCAGAGCAGGGCAATCTCACTGACGTGCAAAAGTGTTAGTAGGATATTATCTCGGTCAGGACCTCAAGCACATCAACAAGGCCATGCTGGGCTGTTGGGCTTCCCCAGCAGGTGCCAAGATGACACTCAAACATTCGCTAGTGGTCACTAGTTCATAAAGACACATCAAAATGGTGTTCCTCTCGCTCTCTTGGAGATTTTGATTCTCTGTAAAGTGGCTATAAACTGAGCAGTCATCTGGGTTCTGTCACACTCTTAATCAGGAGCTGCAAATCCCTATGGTGTGTGTTCTATCTGTTGGCTGGCCTAAATTTAATAATACATAAAAAAACAGAATTCCAGAATAAAACAGGTACACAAGAGTGAAGGAACGGTAGGGGGAAAGGCAAACGTTTGATGAAGCTTTATACCACCAGTGTACCTGTCATGGCTGCACCCCAAAGAATTCTGGGAACTGTAGGCAGGATCAGAATGCAGAGGACTCCCCATTTGACATCCCTAGTCCTGCCCCCACACTCACCTTTCCATGCTAAATTGATTTTATGTCTATGGATTCCATAGATCATATTTTGTTGCATTGTGCGAAGTATGAGCAGGCCAGGGCTGAACTGATACTACCCTTGCTGGTACCTTTCCCGGGAAAGTCAGAGGCTCACTATGTCAGGTTCCTACTGGAAGACCGGACAAAAGCTAGAACGTTGACAGTGGCAAAGTTTTTATCGGTGGTTGCAAGAACAAATGAGCCCTATATTCCAAACAAAGTGCTTGATTAACCTGGAGGTAGGCTGTATGAACTCTGTATTGATTTGTAATGTTTTGTTGGGTCTCTGGACCGTAATAAAGATAGTTGTAAAGTGATTTTATGTCTGTAATGAGAGGTGCTCATTAGGGAGAGAGGGGGAGGAGAATGAGAATATTTTTTGTTGTGAACTGCCCTGAAATCTACAGATAAAGGGCAGTATACAAATCAAATCAAATAAATTGATCACATTCTTAGGAGGCAGAGAGACCAAGTTAGCCATTGCTTTATAATCTCTCATTGTGTTTTTTTGTTCTTCCAAGTGCCCTTTTATGGATGAGAGGATTTTGAGTTTGCACAGCAAAATCAAGAGCCAGATGCTGGAATTTCCTGACCAGTGAGTATGCAGAATCACTATGTTTATGACTACCCTAGCCAGGGGTCCACAAACACGCTCACCGGTGAGGGCGCTCTGGATTCTAGCAAGCTCTCCCCACTCTCCTTCTGGACCTGCAGCAGAAGGGCAGGAGTCTCCTGGAAGCCACCTGGAACCTTGGAGGTGCTTTGCTGCTTGCCAAGCCATTCCAAGACTTGGTGCGATAGGAACGAGTCTCTGTGTGCCCCCCTAGCCCAGCACATATCTAGGGTGAAAGACAACAACTTGCCCCCTCAGTACCTCACAGTTCCTCCATTGGGCGGCGGGTGGTGGTGGGACATATTCAACAGCAGTAAATTTGGGCTGGCTTCTAAGACCTCTGTGTGTTTCCAGGACTGGCACTCAGGTGCCTCCAACCGTGGAGACAGAGCACGGCTGATAGGCTTTAATCGCTTTCTCCTCCATGAATTTGTCTAATTGTTTTAAAGCCATCCAAGTTAGCGGGTGGTGCTGCCACCAGTGCAAGCAAGTTCCGGGTGCTGGAGAAGGCTTGCTGAAGAGTTATGACTGAGTTGGAGCTTTATTTTATTTTATTGACTGATTGATTGAATTTATATACCACCCTGTACCCAGAGGTATACTGATAAAGCAGGAGAGAAGGGTGAAGTCCTGGGAGAAAAAGTTGGGAGCAAGAATTGGGATGGTGCCTAGGAACCTCACAACTCAGGTGCCTCTTCCCTGGTTGTGTGTGGCTTCCGTGTTGTGGTGGCCAATTGAGGCAAATAGGCCACAAGGACATTTTTGGGAAGTGCTAGGAACACAGCCCCTGTTTTTATTCCCCCCCCCCCATATCCAGTAAATGAGGTTCTCGTTTGTATTTAGGTGGGCTTAGCTCAGTGGAAGAACATCAGCTTTGCATGCAGAAGCTCCTAAATTCAATCTCTGGCATCTCCAGGTAGTTCTAGGAATGTCCCTTGTAGACAATTCTGAACTAGATGGGACCAATGGTCTGACTCCTGTACAGCAGGAATGACCAGCTTATTCTCAAACCTGCCTTTCCATCCTTAAGGACTAGAGACTTACTGTTCATTTGTTTGTTTCAAAAAGAAATGGTGAGAGCAGGCCCTGTGCTTGTGAAGCAAACTAACTCCTCCACATGTCTTGATATTTCCTCCCCACCCAGGCCAGACATTTCTGATGAACTGAAAGATCTGATCACGCAGATGCTGGACAAGAATCCCGAATCCAGGATCACAGTCCCAGAAATAAAGGTATCCCACAGTCAATTCAGGACTTCCGAAGAAGTGTGATGCCCGTAACCTTATATGTCTCAGATCCTTTTCTTTGGCCTCTCTTTTTTGTTGTTGCTGTTCTGACATGCTTATCTGTGCTGCCATTCCTGGTTGAGGATAATAATCCATTTTACAGTGTCTACCCTTCCTTATAGCCCAAAGGTCTCTTAAGGCAGCTTACAAATGGATTTTAAAATTCCCACCATGCCTGGACAGTGCACCATTTTAAAGGGGTTGCATTTTCCCATCAGAGCTTGTTGACAGGCTTAAGGTCAAGATGTGGGAGTTTTGCAGGAAGGGAAGACAATTTGCATTGGAATTCCCCTGCAGGGCAGTGGGGCCTTGATTCTGATTCTTTTTCCCCACCCCACTTCCCCAAGCTGCTCCAAGTCAGATAATCAACATGGGCAAAATGGGTTAGATCCTTCAAGCTGCAGTCTAAATCTAACCCACTCTCCCCTGCAAGAAAATAAAAGAAAACCTTGACTACTTTTTGTAAAATAAAAATATATACGAGTTTTAGTTGCAGAACTTCCAGGTCACATACATCCACACCATATGTTTATGGATTTCCCCAAAGAAACCTGGGAATTGTAGTTTATTATGGGGACTGTGGATTTAAATATACACAAATGTACCTCCCGTTGCTCGGTCCCTGCTCCTGCCAACCTAGCAGTTTGAAAGCACGTCAAAGTGCAAGTAGATAAATAGGTACTGCTTTGGCGGGAGGGTAAACGGCGTTTCCGTGCGCTGCTCTGGTTCGCCAGAAGCGGCTTAGTCATGCTGGCCACATGACCCGGAAGCTGTACGCCAGCTCCCTCGGCCAATAAAGTGAGATGAGCACCGCAACCCCAGAGTCAGCCACGACTGGACCGAATGGTCAGGGGCCCCTTTACCTTTACCTATACTGAGTTGCTTTCAGAGTATTAAGCTTATGATTTCAAAATCTCTCTCTCTTTTTTAAAACAGCTTTTTCATAATAAAATAAAATAAAATAATCTAAATAAAAACAAAAACAGAGAAAGAAACAGAAAAGAAAACACCGACTCCTCTCTTAAAAGTAGCTCCCTAATCCTTGTCTCACACAGAAAGTAATGGACCCTCCCAGCTCTCACAATGGGGGAATTTTCCCCTCCCTATCAAGTTTTAAAATTACAACTTGGCTGGTATTTCTCATCTCACTTTTTCCTTTGGGTTGTTCTTGTTCCAGTAAACAATATAAAGCTGCTGCATCTAAGAGAGGAAATCTTGACTTGTATTTTCTCTCTCCTGGTCATCTACAGTCAGTTAATTTATTCATTCTCATTATCTGCCAGGCTTCCCATAATCATCCATCTTTGTTGGGACATGAGTTGCATTTCCAGTACTTTGCCTTTAGGACTCTGGCAGTGAGCAATAAATTTCCAACTAGGTCTTCATGTCTCCTATTCACATTAATTTTTAAATATCCCAGAAGATAACAAGTTTAGTTTTAGTGGTTTTATGGTATCCAATTATTTCTCTAATGCTTTTTGGAATAAGCTGCCAGTACTTTTATGATCTCATACAGCTCTCTGCCAAGGATTTCCAAGCACCTGGAGGAAGTTGTGGAAGGAGGAGGCAATTCTTGAGCTATCTCAGGGCCTCGCCATACATCCTTTTTATTGTGCATTCATGAAGATTTGTGCTCATGATGCTCTCAGGCATATGTTTTGGGGCAGCTATGCTGATTGGTTTCCACTCGGTGCTTGTCCTGTAATTCCTGCTGAAATCCTGTAACTTTTCATACCACAAATGGTATGTTCTATCCCACTTTTGTTGTGCGGTGGTGCAAGAGCTGTCCCTTCAGATTGCAGTAATATGGAACCACTGGGGAAGCATTGCAGAACAACTAAGAAAGCAGGAGGGTGTGTGGATGGACCTGTATAAATCCAACACTAATTCACTCCTACTGTGTGAGTGGCATGTTGCAGAACCTGCAGAAACGACAGGGACTGCTTGCCTGCTTGGGTCAGAACCAGCACTTTGCCTTGTTCCTGGAAACTTGCCAGCATTAACCCTGGAAACCAATGCTATAAGGATATGGGCCTGATCCTGTGTGGCTCTTATGATCTAGTCCAGTATCCTGTTTCCCACACTGGCCAAGCAGATGCCCTTGGGAAGCCCACAAATGAGACCTGAGGATAGTAGCCCCCTCCCCTCCCCTCTGTTCTTGAGTTGCTGATACTCAAAGACACTGCTCTGAGCCTGCAAGCTGGAAATACCCACTGTGGGTGGTGACGATGGCTAGCCGAAACCTCCATGAATTCGTCTAGCTCAGTTGAGATCTACTTACAGGGTCACAACCCGATCTAAGGTGGGTTGCAAAAGCAGCATTACCACCATACAAATATATGGTTGAAAATAATGAAGGCAGGGGTCACAAAATGCATGTTTGGGTTAAAGGTGGGTTCTGGGCCTGAAAAGGTTGAATTCATGGCTGTCACCACATCTTGTGGTAGCAAATGTCATAGTTTTTAATGCTTTGTGTGGTATCGTCTGTCTGTCTGTCTGTCTGTCCATCCATCCATCTTCTTGCATTTATTTAATGTTCCTTCCTTCTGTCATGGTACCCACGGTGGTGTTCACCTGGTACTCATCCAGGTCTGATTAGCCCCAGACCTGTTTGCCTTCAGCATGATGGTGGCCTTGCGAACCTTGTTGTGAGTGTGTCAAGAAGTTCTTACTTTTGACAGTCCTGAATTTCCTGTCCTTCGCCTTCCCTGGCTCACCCCTGATTCTAGTATTCTTGGGCTGAATTCTGTAATGCTTACTCTTACTCTCTTTACCCCCTCTCCTTTTTTTTATAAGATATTTATTAGTGTTTTACAAAAAACAGAAGTTTACAGAGTAAAAGGAATAAAAACAGAGATTTACAGAGTAAAAAGAAAACATAAAAGAGGAAGAAAAATAAAAAGAAAATTACAAGAATTACCAAAAAATACATAGAAAAAAAGAAAATACAAAATACAAAAAACAGATAACTAAAAAAAATTTGAAAAACAAATCCATTTTTCGATATCTTTAAGCTCATTTGCTTGTTTCCTTGACCTCCTCACACCTCCCCTTTTTGTATTTCCATTTACATAATCAATTCAGCAAATCCATACCCTCTTTCATTTATCTTAACTCTATATCTTAACATATTATAGCTATATGTTTTCATCCATTATCAATCCATTTTTGCATATTCTTATTAACCTTGTTGCCAATACCACTTATTTTCAATCCAACATCATTTTAACATTCATTAATTTTACAATATTTCTGCAAATAGTCTTTAAATTTCTTCCAATCTTCTTCCACCAACTCTTCTCCCTGGTCTCTTTACCCCCTCTCAACCAGAAAGCCCCGTTCTAACCAGCCCCTGAATGGTTTTGGGTTTCCCTTTTCTACACCTTCTCCTTTTGACACCCAAAATGTACACTGTGTTCCAAGTGTGTCCACACCACTGATTGGTATGAGGGCATTATATGTGTTCCCCAGAGCCTGTTCCAGTTGACAACCCTGCCGCTATGCTATGGACCCGTTCCAGTTGCCAAATGCGCTTCAGAGGCCCTGACAGCCTATTTCAAGAAATTCAATCTAGAAGCTACCATGGTGTGTATCAAACTGCAGTCCTAGCTGTGAATTGATTTGTGGTAGCTGGATTTCCGAGGGATTCCCCACCCCCAGCCCCACGACAAGTGCAAAGGATGCTTCCTCCATTTTGTAAACCAGCTTCGTAATCTTATTTTAAAATAAAGTTTCATAGTGCCGACTTCTCTGTCCTTCCAGGTCCAGGGGAAGTGTGTTTCTCTTAAATTGTTCCCTCTTCCCCCCAAAATGAAACAATTATCTGCTTCTGCCCAACTTTTAATATTATTACAAGAAGAGTCTCTGAGTCACCAAATCGTAGGGCTTCCCCGCTCTCCAGCTGTGAAATCAAGGCAACGTGTGGTGTTTCTCCCCCTTCTCTCAAACAAGGTGCACCCCTGGGTCACCAAGAACGGGGTGGAACCATTGCCGACAGAGGACGAGAACTGCACGCTCATAGAAGTGACCGAAGAAGAGGTTGAGAATTCGGTCAAGCACATCCCAAGCTTGGCCACTGTGGTGAGTGAGACCCAAGTGCTGCTTGTGGGTTGGATATGCCTGATTCAAAAGGGCACGTCTAACCAACCTATTTTTAAAATCTGCTCCAAGTGCCAGCGAGCCTTATTGGCTGAATTTGCAGGTCACAGTGCGCCAGGTGTGGAGAACTTTTGGCCCTCCTGTCTTGCCAAACTACAACTTCCACCAGCCCAAGCAAGCATGGCCAGGGGCTAAGGATGATGGGAGTTGAAGTTCAGCAAAATGGGGAGGGCCACAAGGTTCTTCATACCCTGCCGTAAGTTATAACCCAAGGATGGCTAACCTTTTGAGGGCTGAGGGTCACATTGACCCTTCTTTCTCACGCTTCCCAAAGCAGAAGCTTCTTTTCCCCTTTATTCCCCCCCCCACCCCCACTCCCAAATATGCTGTCGCTGTGGGAAGGGGGTGAGCACAGCTGCAGGGAGTGAGGAACAGAGAGAATTTCTTTGGGGATTTCCCCCCTTTGTTTTCCTCCCTGCTGGTGGTGGCAGGAAGGCTTGTGCAGACCCCCCCCCCAATGCTGATCCTTTCAACCTCTGACCCGTATGCACTAGGTGGGAGAAGCAATTTGCACTGAATGGAAGCCCCGTCCCCCTCCTTGAGCAAGGAAGTTGGGGGCGCACCTTGTTCCAGCAAAGGAGAAATAGGGAGCCCCCTTTAAGCTCCCACCTGGTTTTTACCAAGCCCCCACCTGACTTCATGTGGAGTATCTGGCATAGGTCGAGTGGGGGTGGCTTCCCCAAAAGGCCTGGTGGGTCAAGTTTGGCCTGTAGGCCAAAGGGTCTCCTCGACTGATGCAGAATGAGGAGGAATACTGGACAGTATCACTTCAGATTGTGGGGAGGGGGGTCCATGTTTCTGAGTCCTCCTCCTCCTCCTGCATGTAGCTTGCTAGTACAGTGGTAACTCATATTGCGAATGGGATCCGTTCCGGAGGCCTGTTCACAACATGAAAAGCCCGCAAACTAAAGCACCGTATCTGCGCAGGTGCGCAGCATGATTGGCGCTTGTGCGAAGTGCGATTTAGCGCTACTGTGCATGCACGGGCAGCGAAACCCGGAAGTAACCCTTTCCGGTCCTTCCAGTTGGCCGTGGGACGCAACCTGAAAAAGCTTAACATGAAGCAAACATAACGTAAGGTATGACTGTATAACACTGGAAAAGCTATCTGTAGCCTTTGCCTGGAATGAGCTAGTTTTAAAAAGCCTCTCTCCTTGCATTAAGCTAACACATCAGAAAGAAATTTCATGTAGGCCTTTCCCTGAGGTGCTAGCTAACTGGATGCAGTCAACCCCTGCCCCCCTCAGATGTCCTTGGGATTGTAGTCCAAACTGTCTGGGGGCTGCCATGTTGATGAAGGCAGCACCATATAAATACAGAAATGCCGGTAATAGTAAAACAATCATAATCTTCTCTTTCAGATCCTGGTAAAATCAATGATCAGGAAAAGATCTTTTGGGAACCCGTTTGAGGGGAGTAGAGAGAAGAGCGATCCCTTTCTGCGCCAGGGAATCTGTTGACGTAAGTCTCTGACGCAGGAGCCTTGAGCTGTGGAGAAGGGCAAGAGTTTTCCAAATGTGCTGTGGAATTTCCCTGGAAGTTAGGGGTGCTCAACAATACCTAACATACAGGCCCAGCCCTGCCATTAAACAAACTTGAGGTATGTGTGTGTGTGTGTGTGTGTGTGTGTGAGCAGAAGACAGCAGTTTCATATATATTTAATGGAATATTAATTGTGTTTCACTATAGGGAGTGTGGAAGAGTAACCTTGCTTCCCTTGGAAACTTTGCACTTTGACTTTTGGATGATGCCTTTTGCTGCTCCACCTCAGGCGGCAAACTATTTTGAGCCAGCCTTGTCAATAAAAGATGGCGTTGACTGTCTTCCCCTTCAGTGTGCAGCCATAACATGGGAGGTTATGATCTGAGGTGCTCACCTCATGTAGAAACATGGCTGAGTCTCGTGACATGCCTGTCCAGGAGCCTGTGTGAACTACAGCTGTTCACCAGAACATATTTTTTATTAATATATTTATTTTTGTATATGCCACCCATTGTAGAAAAGTGTGTCTGAATTGAAAAGTTTTTACTTGGTGTCTGAAAGCATGGGCAGGGGGCTATCCAAATTTTTTAAGGCAAGGTTTTCCATAAATGTGGTGCCCATGCATAGAAGGCCCTGTCCTCATGTCCACCAGCTACATCTCAGATTCAGGTAAAGAAACATAGCAAGAGCCTCTGTGAAGGACAAGGCGAGAGGGCAAGTGCTTATTGAGCTTTAAATGGACCACTGGGAGACTTTGGTGTTTAACACACTGGTGGCTTGAACCCACCACTGGAAGGTGGGTCTCTCCTGCAGCAGCACCAGCTTTGGGAAAGGGCAGGTGCAGGGTTGTTGTTGTTGTTGTTGTTTTAAGAGGTGGAGAAAAGCAATGTAAAAGAAGATTGGGCTTGCTTTATTTTTAAGAACTTCTGTAGAAAAGGGAAATGGTGGGGGGCTGGCTGCTGGTCACAGAGTGATGGTGGATGGCAGCACTTTCCAAAAAGTGCAGGGGCTGAGCTGTCTACTTTTGTAGCTTTCTATTCACAGACACAGGGGATGCGGGTGGCGCTGTGGGTTAAACCACAGAGCCTAGGACTTGCCGATCAGAAGGTCAGCGGTTCGAATCCCCGCGACGGGGTGAGCTCCCGTTGCTCGGTCCCTGCTCCTGCCAACCTAGCAGTTCGAAAGCACGTCAAAGTGCAAGTAGATAATAGGTACCACTCCGGCAGGAAGGTAAACGGCATTTCCGTGCACTGCTCTGGTTCGCCGAAGCGGCTTAGTCATGCTGGCCACATTGTTGTACGCCGGCTCCCTCGGCCAATAAGCGAGATGAGCGCCGCAACCCCAGAGTTGGCCACACTGGACCTAATGGTCAGGGGTCCCTTTACCTTTACTAGTGGGAAGGTAAACAGTGTTTCCATGCACTGCTCTGGTTTCTCCAGAAGCGGCTTAGTCATGCTGGCCACATGACCCGGAAAAACTGTCTGTGGACAAACACTGGCTCCCTCGCCTGTAAAGCGAGATGAGTGCCACAACCCCAGAGTCGTTTGCGACTGGACTTAACTGTCAGGGGTCCTTTTACCTTTACCCTTTTTACTTGTGGGGTTACCTTCCCCTGTTGAAATCACTTGACTGCTTCGCTGTGTGGAACTGGCAATGTTACACGGACCACATAATACGCATCCTGCAATTCAACAAAATCAATAATTTAGTGTGGCGGCACCTATACCCAGCTAGATGGGCTGTTTAAAAATAATAAATTATTTTTGTTGTTGTTGTTACTTTGGAACTCCCTGCCTATTGACAGCAGGCAATCACCTTCTCTGTACCCTTTTGGCTCCTGCTTAAAACATACAGTCTCAAACTGCTTAGTTGCCAAACAAATCGGATCCCGAATACCGCAACCCCAGAAGTAAGTGTTCCGGTTTTCAAACGTTTTTCGGAAGCTGGACATCCGACGTGGCTTCCGCTTGAGCGCAGGAAGCTCCTGCAGCCAATTGGAGGCCGTGCCTTGGTTTCGAACAGTTTCGGAAGTCAAACAAACTTCCAGAATGGATTAAGTTTCAGAATCATGGTTCCAATGTACCAGTATTTGTTTCAGCAAGCCTGTCTAGGCAAGTAGATGTTGACATTTCTTAAACTTTCCCTATTAATCTGAACTATCTTTTAAATGTTTTGATTACTTGCTTTTAACTTTAAAAATTGATAATTTTAATATTGCTTGTAAACAGCTTAGTTGGTTTTTTTATTCCAACCAAGAGGTATATAAAGAGTGTTAAGTAAAGTAAGTAAATAAATAAATGAATAAAAGTCTGAAAAGTATCCTGTTTAGGCACGGACTTTGAAAAAATCTCAGTGTCACACTTATCCCAATCTCAATGAGATGCAAGCTTTGGGGGTTTTTTTAAATTTGATCCACTGAAAATATAAAGCATTCTCACATATCATATCCATTAGTATACACATTATTATGAATATAATATTATATGCCTGTTATACACATACACACTCTGGCTTTTCTGAAGTAACCAGCACAGAGAGTTATGCCCAGAACTTCATATAACTTTTCTAAAAATACTTCAGTATTAATAATTGCACAATATAGCAATGCTTGTAAAATTATGCTGCAGAAGTATAATACCAGATGAGGCTTGACTCTTACTCTGTGCATAATGTATATATTTTTATATATAGCCAGGCCTTTAAAAGAGAAGGCAGGAGCAGCGCTGTCACAATCGGACACTCGGCGCAAGACGCAGTTCAGTGTGGGCAAAGCTCGATATGCTTGCAACTGCCAAACTCCATTCATAAATGCATGTAGAACAAATTCTTCCTCCATCCCTCAGCTTGTTTCCTGCTGTGGTCAGCCAGAAGCCTCTGGGAAACCCAATGTTCTCTTCTTGTTGCCCTTAGGATGTCTTGGTGGCCATTGAAGGTTTTGCATAGACATCATGGCCAGTAGACACTTAAAGACTTCTCCTCCTCCTCTTCCTCTTCCTCCACCACCACCAACTATAACGAAATCATACGGTAAGCATATTCCATACACAAATTATGTTGCCGTGTGACATTGTGCATTGTCTTCTCTGTGCTGATTTTGCGGCCAATCAGTTTTTTTTATATAACCCTGTGTTATAGTAGCATGGAAGATGCAGGGGAAACATTATCTCAGATTTTATATACCTCACTTTATCAGGCACCCAGTTAAACATCTCTAAGAACAGCAGAAAATGGTTAAGAAAAAGAACAGGTCCCTACCAGAGAGGAATGGCAAGCTAAGCTGATGAACTACACTGAAATGGCAAAGCTGACTGGAAAACTCAGGAACCAAGAGGACAAAAACTTTAAAAAAAGAATGGGGAGGGGAATATAATTTATCAGTGCAAGCAGATGGAAACATTAGCAGGATTTGAAACCCACTTATAATGTAACAAATACTATGGACAATATGGGTTGATATAAAATATAGAATATGGAATAATATGCAGTTGTAAATGTTGACAATAGAACCCATGGAGGGGATGGGGGAAGTCTCAAGATTCAGAGTAATCTCTATATATGGATATGCATTTGGACTGTTATAAATTCATATTTGTAAAATCAAATAAAAATTAATTCCAAAAAAAAGAAGAAGAAAAAGGGAGGGGGTGTTAGCCTTTATATGACTATTTTGGATTACCTTTTCTGCACTTTTTCTATTTCTGTGGTATCATTTTTTATTTTCAAGTGTGGCCTCATGCAAGGTCCTGGCAGTCTTATTTCAAAAACCCTTTCCTAATAACCCCTAATTTGGGCTTTTGCAGCAGCACTTCTAACTCTTGATACTTTAATCTATCAAGCACGTCCCCAAGATCTGTTTCCTAGCCACTCACACTTCAAGTTGGGACCCGATAAGTATATTTGTGGATTTCTTGCCTCATTGCGCATTGACCTCCTTTGTTGCCCCTTTGCCCAGTTCAGAGAGGGGTCTTTGCAACTCTTCATAGTCTGCTTGGACTTCAACCATTTTGAATAAGGTTGCAGACTTAGCCACCTCCTTGCTGGTCCCTAGCTCTCTTAATCACAGCTCAGGCCATGAGCTGTTTAGTCCCGGGGAATTTGCCACTGCTCAACTCACCTGAGAAGGATTGTAAAGGTAAAGGTCGACTCTGGGGTTGTGGCATTTATCTCGCTTTATTGCCCGAGGGAGCCAGAGAGACTGCAACTCCAGCTTGCTCCCTTATCCCCCACAGCCTGGTGGAAGCTCCTCAGATTAAGACTGCAGGCCTATACGGACTTACTTGGGAATAGGACCATACCCTCCAACATTTCTCTGGTGAAAACATGGTCGTCCCATTCCATAATGATAATTTTACTATTTATACGCCAACACATCTTCCTGGTTTGCCCCAGCCACTCTGGGATACTTCCAACACATATAAAAACATTAAAAACATTAAAAAAAAAACCTTCCCTTTACAGGATTGCCTTCAGATGGCTCGGGAGTCGTATAACTCCATACCATCTGACATGTCTCCAGTGAAAATAGGGGGAAAGCGGGACATTCTGAGACCAAATCAGAAACTGGGATGGTTTCTCTAAATCAGGGACATCCCTGGAAAATAGGGAGCGTCTGCAGGACCCATTGAACCCAATGGAGTTAACAACTGAGTAGGCAGGTCTAGGGTTGCACTGTTAGTCACCCATATCAAAGGAGACCAGATTTGTCCCCAACAGCACCTTGCGACTGAAGCTTCATTTGGAAACGCATCTTCACCAAGCTGAAAGGCACTAGGCAGTAATAAGGTGAACACAAGTTTGCAGCGGTTGAGACTGTTGCTGCTCCAGTTTATTGGAGTCTTGAGCTCACTGTGTGCGGGCGCTAAATATGACAACAGAAGCAACTGTCAGCTAGCGGCTAACAGGAATCTCTCTTCTGCAACCTCCTTACTCTTGTTATTCCCATCGCACTGTGATTTAGAGTGTAGCCCTAGGCGCATTTACCTGAAAGTAAGCTCTAACGAACACAGGATTATTTGTGAGTAAGGATTGCTGTGTCGCATAGGGATGGGCAGATTTGTCCTTGTTTTTCCAGTCTAAAAGTTTTCTTCTCCCCATTTTCACATCAGTTTGTGATTTTTATTTTTCAAATGCTCATCAACATGTTACTGCAAATTCATGGTAATGCAGCATACAGATGTTTGTATGCAATTTTCCCCTTTTTTGCATGCTACTTTTCACAAATTCATGTCTGTGCACACATTGCCCTGGTACAGTAGTTCTCCAACTTTTTTTCTCTGGGCCACCCTTTCAGAATAAACATTTGCTTGCAACACACCAGATTTTTAATGGATACATTGGGAAACACAACTAGGATTGTCCTCGGCATCTTGCTCTCATTTTGAAAATATATCTATCCAGATTCTGCAAAGTATTTGATACTATATACATTGAAATGTTTCAATGTTTTTCTTGGGCTAGTTCATGCATTTGTATCCATGTTGCTTGGCTGGAGAACTGCCTTGCAAAATTTGCAAAAGTGTGCTTTTCTAAGTGGTACCAGACCCATGTTTTTTATGTTTAATGTTTTGTTTTTTTTTAATGTTTTTATATATGTTGAAAGTTTTCTAAAGGTTGTATATCTCCTTGGCTTGGAGGTCACATTTTAAATATATATATATATTTATACTTTTCAAGTTTATACATTTCACTAATTTTACAATCATTTTGACATTTCAAAACCTGACTTCCTCCCTCCTTTTTCTGCAGTTCCTTAAATTTATTTTTAATATCTTCTGCATAGCCAAATTAACTTAATTTGCTCATTTATTCATCCTCTTGAAATATATACTCTTATGAAAATGCAAGTTATTACAATAATCCTGCCAATGTTCTTATCTGATTGCAATTCATCTGTAAATATTCAATAAACCATTTCCATTCTTTTATTTATAATTATAATAATTGTTACCTTGATTTCTTATTTTTTCTGGTAAGTTTCGCCATTTCTTCACATTCCACAAGTTTTTATATCCATTCTTCCTTTCCTGGGACAACTTCTGCTTCTTTCCATTTTGGGGCGAGTAACATTCTTGCCACTGTAGTAGCGTACATGAATTAGTTTCTATACAGTTCAGGTAGTTCTGTCCCTAAAATTCCCAGAAGAATAAAAGTCCCAGAAGAAAAGCTTTTGGGTTTTTTTTTTTTTTACAAAGGTTATTTTAAATCAGGGGTCAGCAATCTTTTTCAGCCGTGGACCGGCCCACCATCCCTCAGACCATGTGGTGGGCTGGACTATATTGGGGGGGGGGGAAGAAAAAAGAAAAGAACAAATTCCTATGCCCCACAAATAACCCAGACATGCATTTTAAATAAAAGCACACATTCTGCTCATGTAAAAACACCAGGCAGGCCCCACAAATAACCCAGACATGCATTTTAAATAAAAGCACACATTCCGCTCATGTAAAAACAGCAGGCAGGCCCCACAAATAACCCAGAGATGCATTTTAAATAAAAGCACACATTCTACTCATGTAAAAACATGCTGATTCCTGGACCATCCGGGGGCCGGATTGAGAAGGCGATTGGGCCGCATCTGGCCCACGGACCTTAGGTTGCCTACCCCTGTTTTAAACATCCTTTTCACTTTTTGAGGTCACATTTTGCTGCCTGAGAGCAGCAGGCCAGCTTAGGGGTAGTAGGGCAGACGTTGTGACCTGCACAGCTTTGGCCAATTGCCTGCGGCTCAACACCTGCAACCTGAGGTGGCTGCCTCATTCTGTCTCATGGTAGGACAGGCCTGGTTATTCGTTTGAGTGTACCCATATTGGCTCAGAGGGAATTGTTTTGAAAGCCGTGTGCTCCCCATCAGTTGTATGTTAAGTGTGAAATAAAAAATTTAAGGTCATATACATCTCTCTCATTCTCTCTCTCTCTCTCTCTCTCTCTCTCTCTCTCTCTCTCTGTGTGTGTGTGTGTGTGTGTAAAATAAATGTTCATAACTGCATATATAAACCGCAGGAGTGTGTGTGATGGACCTGTATAAAATCCAACACTAATTCACTCCTACTGTTGAGTGGCATGTTGCAGAACCTGCAGAGAACGACAGGGACGCTTGCCTGCTTGGGTTCAGAACAGCACTTTGCCTTGGTTCCTGGAACTTGCCAGCATTAACCCTG